CCCTCAAGTTACCCCATAAGCACCCTCAAGTTACCCGACAAGCACCCTCAAGTTACCCCATAAGCACCCTCAAGTTACCCCATAAGCACCCTCAAGTTACCCCATGAGCACCCTCAAGTTACCCCAAAAGCACTCTCAAGTTACCCCATAAGCACCCTCAAGTTACCCATAAGCACCCTCAAGTTACTTTCACTGGACCCCAGTACCAGTTAGCTTCAGCAAAGGGAAAGATTGTTACCCGTTAGGTCGTCTGTTGGGCTGTAGGATTCTAAGACATCACTGTTGCAGCCAGGGGCCACTGCAGCTCCCCCAGCAGTGGACGACTTGCTGCTGCCACCAGCAGCTGCTGCAGTTCCCCCAGCAGTGGACAACTTGCCGCTGCTGCTCTGTAGGTGCAGAGACAGGTTAGTTTCATGAAGAATAATGCTTGCAGCTTCTTAATCATTTTAGGACAGGTTAATGCATACAAGTTAGATTTTGTGGGCTTAAAAGTCAGATCAATAATCAGAACATTTAGAAGCACTTCTTATTTCTGTTCCATAAATTACTTTTAAGAACTGATTCAAGATGAATTTTCATGGATAATTTTTCAAAGATAAATTTTTGCATACATGCGTGAAACAAATTACATTCTGAAACTTTGGACAATTTATTATGAGTAAATGCAATGGTAGAAACGAATAATGTGTACCTCTGCAGTCCTTGGTTCCACCTTGACATATACTTCATCTATAAGGCAGTCCATCTTCTCGATGGCAACACTGCAGTCTGAAGACAGAGCACCAAATTCCAATGCTGCGCAAGACATACATTTATTGATTGGTTATTGAATTAGATAAGTAAATAAGTAAATTTATTGAATTAGATAGAGTTTACATAAAATGTAGAGCAGGTTTCCAGCTCTACATATTTAGGGATTCAACTTGGATCAGGAAAGCTAGAAAAAAAAATGTATAGAAGCAAAGCTCTCATAGATCATGACACACTACAAACTATTTGAGAAAATACCTACTTATTAGCAATCAAGTTTTGAAACTCAATACATTTATAGGTATATAAAAATTTAATTTGGTTCTTTCCCTACTTCAATAAAGTGGAAACCACTTTAAGCTTTCATTGACTTGCCACAGAGTAATAATGATATATTTTCCAGAAATAAATTATTACACATTAACTTCTTATGCTCTTGAAATTTAATATTTGTTTCACTCTTAATGAACTTATAGGCTTCAAACGTCTATTATCAATAAATTAGTAAAAAAACAGAATTCATTCTTGAAACCTAATAAAAGGAGGTCAACCACATCAAAGGTTTTATGATCTCTCAGTTCAAGCTGGGAGTGCAGGCTAGGCTCACCTTCAGACTTCACTTCACCAGCAGACACTTGAGGGAGGCTCTGCTCATCACACCAGACACACCCGTCTGCATCTTCAGGGCATTGCTCCAGGACAATTTCTGCCTTCACTTCTGAGCTTTTATCTGACTCTGAAAGAGCTGGTACTGAATTGATTGGAGCAGAATTTTCTGTATTCTCCAGTACATCTGAAGGGCAACAGTCAATTTTTCTTCTCTTGCAGTCAGCCTGTTTTTGATCAGGTACATTTTGTCGTTTCTGGGAAAATTTTTTAGCAACATTAATGCCAAGTTTGCTCATATAATTCTTTATTGCTCGACTTTTTGTGGTAGATTTCTTGTTTTGAATTAGTGATTCTTTGTGTTTGGTGAGAAATATTGTTTTTGCCAGTTCTGCATCATGCTGTACAATGTTTGTGTTGCATCTGAGAAACACTTCATTCTGAATGTCATCAAAGACAGCATCTTCATCAAGTTTTGTTTCACTTGTGTAGTACTTGGATTCAAATCTATTTCTCACAGCAATCTCCGCATGTGACATCACTCTTTCCGTGGCCGCTAGCGTCGGCTTCATGAGCTGGATGACTTCAAGGCACCGTATGATGTTGACTGGATACGTTGGTGTGCTGTTGTTGGTGCTGATGTAATGTGCAAATGCATGGGTGTAGGACTGTGCTGTTGCGCTTCCAATCCTGATTAGTTTGTTGTCAGGTGCAGCCTCCCATTCACTTTGGAAATCATCCATGAATTTGACATAGTCTTTTTTTAAACAAGTGCACTCACGAACTCCCATGCACTCACTGCCACATGACTCAAATTGCACATTCAACAAATCAAACAGATTTATTAATGCTGTCAAGTTTTCTTCAATCATATCAAACTCCTGATGAAGTGAAAATGATTCTGTTGCAAGTACAATAGGAACAGGGATTAACAAGTAATTCGGAGCTTCCAAACAAATTTCATCAATCCATGCAGAATTCTCTTCAATTAATGTAGTTAAGATATTATCTCTGGATTCATCCAATGTATTTCTTGTTTTTATGCCTAGCTTTGATGCCACACTTTCTAAATTCATGCCTCTATGCTCAGTGGAGGAGAAGGTGTCAGAGTTGAAGTTTAAAGTTCCACTCTTTATGAAGCTCTGAATCTCAATAGAAGGAGCCTTCAGTTCACACAATTCTGATGCAAGGCTGTCAACTTGGTGCTTGTACTCTAAAGGTCCAAACCAAGGATCTTGAGCAGCTTTTTCTTTGTTAGAGATGGTTCTGTAAAGTCTGCAAATCATCATGCATCTGACAACAAATGATTCATTAGCTAACAATTTCAAAATATTTTTGGTTCTGATACTGAGTGAATTATGTTCATCCAAAAATCCTGGTAAGGATTCAAGGAAAATTTGGATGTTTTTCAAAGTGGCTTCTAAGTGAAGGTGAACATATTCTGCAGAACAATTCTGTGGCTGGTTTGGGATTGCAGTGAAAATGGATCCTCGAACTACATTGATGTGCTTGTGAATTTCATCCTTGACATTGTGGTCATTGATGAATGCTGCAACAGCTCTGCATGTTGCTAAAGTGTCAAGGACCCATTGAGGTAATGTCTCATTCAGCAATTTTTCCATTTTGTGGCAGAAGTCCGGAAGTCCAACCAAATAATTATATTCTTCAGAAACTTTTAGTTCTTCTTCAACAGTTCTTATTTCAGTGCATGCAGCATGTTCACTTGAGCATATAAAAGCAACTGATGATGGGTCCATGAATGATGCAATGGTTTGTTTTATATGATTTGCAGTTGTCAGCACATCTCCTTGCCTTATCTTTGACAAATCCAAAAGAGCTTCCTTAGGCAGGCCATTCTCAGCAACATAGGTGGCAACAATAGCTTGGCGTGAGACATCCTTGGCAGCTGTGCCTTGGTCACAAAAGATACTGAATTTCCTTTTACTTTTTGTTGCTGAGAAAGTCGTGGAGAAGTAGTTTCTCATTGTAGTAGCACAAGCTGCATAATTTGCCAACATCACATCTTTAAAGCCCGAGTATGTCTGATATCGATTGCCCAAAGGGTGGCTTAAATGAGATGGGCAGATGATAGCAAGGAGAGTGCACAAAGCTGTATATAAACTGTATGGCAAGCAATGAGAAGCCATAAATATCCCAGCAATCATTGTGTTCTTTGTTGCATTTTGCCGCTCTTTTGCAGTAGGCCGACCAAATTCAATCTGATGTGCATCTCCACAATTTCTGAAAGCAATTGCTTCTTTGTGCTGGCGACTCTGCAGGTGCACTTTTTTTGCTTTATTTTCGCTACTGGTGTCTTTGAATGTGATTCCAACTGTCCATGATTCTCCAGGTCTAACACGACCTCTGCCAGGATTTGGGTACTTGCAGCAAACCCTACAGAAATGAACATCTTCATCTAGTTCACTGTCATACCGAGAGAAAAAATTGGAACAATCAGTCTTTTTACTAGAGGTTGGTGTAGAGTCTGTTTTGTCTTCTTGAATTGTTACAAAACTATTTTTGAACATATTCTTGCAGCAGCAATTATCATTTGCATGCTTACATCTCTTTATTGCAACTTTGACATTTTCTTCATAGAAATTTTTGGCAAGTAAAAGTTCTGAGCAGCATGAACACTGAGATGGCTGAGTAGCAGAGGGGGCAGCATCACTAGTGCTTGATGAAGAGGTAGACTCTATTATTTGGGATCTCGCTTTTGAAACGCCCTCTGGGATGCGCACAGACAGATCTTGATGGCGTCTCATGAAACCCTGAAAAAAATCAACATAATTAAATCACTGGACGAATAACTTTACCTACTTCATCCATAAAGTAATTGGTCCAAATAAAAACTTTAACCTTACCTCAAACCAGCCTCTTCCAGGTCTGTCATTACGAAAAGGACTTTTCCGCCCTGGGATGTCCTTGATAAGGCGCTGAACGGTGTTTAGGATATCGTTCTTATGTGGTGGTAGACCTCTGCGACAACATTCCTTTATCCAGCTGCAAGAAAATTTTCATAAATTTTAATTACAGTATATGTTCCACAAGTAATCCGGACACTAAATTCATTTGCATGCAGTTTACAGTATGTTTAAGGCTCTTTTTACTTACGTGACGATTGCTTCCTCTTCATCGTCTGTAAGGAAGGGGTCTCGACCACGTCCTTTCCCTTCTCGAGATTTTCCAGAAAGTTTATCAACTAATGTTGTACGGGGTACACCATATATTGCTGCAGCAACCTTTCTTGCAAGGCCCCCTTCTCTTACAGCAAATATTGCTGCCTTCATTGCTTCTGCACTGTACCTTTGACATTTTGTTTCAGGTGGCATATCACATAGGTATAGCTTACTTTACTATACCTAGTTTAAATTTAAATCTTTCTCATGAAATTATACCTGAAAATAAAGAATTTAATGAAGGTGATTAATTATCTTTATTCCGTGTTTTGAGAGTCACGGAAATAACAGCAAGTAATGCTATTTCCATCACTCTCCAAACACGGACACCAATGTTTTTAACACAAATTTAAATAAAAAAAATGTAGCAGTGATGTACCTACCTATATTTGTAAATACAGTACACACAATATCAAATGCCATTTACATGAGTAAAATTGCAAATTAATCCTAAAATGCCACATTAGCCTTTAAGCACCTCATTCCTGCCATAGTTAATAAAAAAAATTCAGCAACCATGTGACGGATTTTGATAATATGCTCGTTATCATGAAAATAAGTGACAAAAACTCAAAAACAGGGCCTAAATATGCATTTTTTTTCTAAATAAACACCTTTTTCACTTGAATGTGCGTAATTCGGACACCCTGTGTCGGAATTAGTTTTTATGTGTCTAAAACCGTGTCTTAACTTAATCATCTATTAATTTATTTACCACTTAAAATCAGCAAATACAAGTATACTTAAAGGATTCCTAATATATTCACAGACTTACTTAAAAGTCTCAAACCATAATATTCTTTTTACACAGTTTATCACTATTTGGTACAGCAAGGTCAACTATCAACTTTGACACATGTTTCGACGTTCTCACTGGGTGACACGGACTTTTGCTCTGAGGATCTTAACATTTTCCTGCCAGACCTAGTGTTTTGTGGAAATATTGCGCGCAATAGTATGACATCACTATTTCAACCATCTATGCATGCGTGGAACTAAGACAAAGCTTAATATAAAGGAAAAAGTTGAGAAGTGTCAGAAATTCCAACACTTCCAGAGGGGTAATAGAGGACACTTCAGTGTGGAATTTCAGAGAGGTAATATATTAACTGGTAAACATAGCAAAATGGAAAGCATGACCTAAAAATCTGGAGAGGCCAGCATACCTCCACTTTCAGTCCATCATCATCACTGACAAGTCTCTGCAAGTTGCCACAGCTGTTTCATTGGAAAAATAGAGCTTACATCATCACAGTAACAAGGATCCAATCAACGCTTGAACGTGTCCAACGTCACAGTCACATGAATCAAATCATCGCTAGAACGTGTGCAATGTCACAGTCACAAGAATCCAATTAGCATCAGAACGTGTGCCACTGGAATCCAATCACAGCCACTGGAATCAAATCAGCATTAGAAAGCTAGAATGGACTGCCTCAAATGCACACAATGTTAAGGCACTGATGCTAATTTAATGTGTAATGCTACACTTTTTATTTAAAGTGCATAATACTATAATGTAGTTATGTCACTATTAATGGAAATCGCAAAGAATAACATCTTCACTATGTACATTCACTCACATACTATACATGAAAAACTGCCCATGATTCAATCCACAAATACAAAACTGATCACTGATGCAAGCAATAAGCTGCAACATAAAAACTCCTTCCATTGCGATCAGTAGTACCCAGGATGGAATTCTAATTTTGAAGGTTCATATATTATTTCGATCCACCAAGACCACTTTCTCGACCCAACATCATTATTTGAGGCAAAAAATTAACTTTTTAAAGGCTTAAAACATGTATGCTAACTTGCTCAGTTTCTATAAGTAATCACTTGGAACTTGCATGCCTGCACCTTTCACTCAACAATTAAAGTTAAACTTATAAAAAGTATTAGTTAGCTGAAGATTTGTCTCTTAAGTTGACTGCAATGAACTAAACTTCATAAAGTAATTAAAACTATGCTGCAAAGCAGAGTTTTCCCATGATGCACACTAAACATGCAATTCAGGCGAGCGAAACTACACATCACAAGAGCAAGCGTGCAACTGAATTAAATATACCTAGCTTCATTCCCGCCTCCCGGTGCATAATCTAGTGGGATGATCATTGTTGACGGTAGCCAAGTCTGACTAATCAACTATCATTTGTATATTTAGTGCAAGACGAATGATGTTTATTTATATCCATAAGAGGGATTAAGGGGAGCATCTACCCTAAAATTGAAAATTTTTGCTTTTTCGGTTTTTAAACTCATTTTAAAGCTGACATTCTGCCCTATCCAACGGTACCACTGCCATTCCTGTATGTTGATTTATGATTTCAAGACATTTCATGAAAGGGGGGCGGGTGGGGGAGTTCTCTAAGTAATTTAATAGGAACTAATTAGCTGCTGAGCTCTTTAAATATAGTGTCTACTTGAGTTGTACTGCAGTTACGTGTTTAGTCTCATCTTAAAGCTGACATTNGGTAGGTGCAACCACCCATGGGACGGGAGACAAGTTGCTGCGTATTGTGGTCAGGTGAACTCCCTTTCTATTTGCATTTACCTCCCTCATCCACAAATTTTGCCAGTGCTCACGCAATCCTCTTCGTAGGCAACTCTGGAGATCTGATTGCTCAATGTGTGAGAGCACCGAGAAGTCAAGTGAGTGACCCAGCTGTGTAACCTTGTCAGCCACTTCGTTGCCATGTATTCCAGCATGGCCTTTTACCCACTGCAGATCAACAGTCATCCCAGGTGTAGACTGCAGAGCCAATAAGCATGCGCGGATCTCAAATACAATAGAAGTGCAAGATGTGCTTGGGGACCCTACGAGTTGCAAGCCAGACTTGGAATCAGAACATATCACCCACTGTGCTTCCGCCCTCTCAGATATCATGACAAGGGCCTGCAGAATAGCATATAGTTCAGCAAAAAGTATACCATGCATTGGGTGGAGGCACCAAGCCACAGCCCGAGCCTCATCCGGCATAAATATTCCACAGGCCATCAATGAGTTGTCTCCCTGCCATGAGCCATCGCAGAAGATTTTGCGGTGGTGTGGGTAATTTTTTCATGTGCACCTTAAATCCGTAAGCAAGATCAATACCTCCAGGTAATTGAGGGTCAATGCATGCCTTTGGTTGTATAGGAGACCAGGGGGGGATTGGGTCAACCTGTGCCAGATGGGAGCGCCGGCATCTTGATTCTCCAAACCGCTGCAGCAGTCCTGCTCCTGCTGCCAGAGCAGATGTGTCAACTTCAGGTCCATGACTCAGTATTTCTGCCGTGATGTCACCTCTGGGGCGGTACATGATTTTCAAATGCCACTGTGCTCCAAGGAACTCACGTTGCAATGATAGGGGAGGCACCCGCTCTTCCACCTGCAATGATATGATGGGGCTGGTTTTCCTTGCCCCCAGTATGAGTTGAAGACAGGTATTTTGGATAACATCCAGTGTTCTTAAAAGGTTGAGGGAGGCAGCTGCATATAGAGAGCTGCCGTAATCTACCTTAGCACGTATATATGCAAGATAGAAGGTGCGCAGGAATTTAGCACTTGCACCCCAGTTTGGGGATGCTAAATGTTTCATTATCCCAATGCACTTCAATGCATCACTTCTAAGGGCTGTGATGTGAGGACCAGGGTTGGCAATGATTAAATCAAAATGAATAAATCATGTGATTAAATCACTTGAGTTTTTTATAAAAAATCATGATTTTTGCTATTTTTTATTTATTTTTTATTTTTTCATATATTTAAATATATTGAGTGGCAGTCTTTAATTTATATTGAGGTATTGTTATTCATGGTTCAGTATAAATGTACTATGAATGACAAATTGGTATATAAACTTGTTGCCTTCAGTGTGTATTAGGTTCCAATAAATAGAATTTTTTTTGGTACAGAGGCATCAAGTGTGCAATACATTATACGTAGCTAGCAGCTTAGCTAATTCTTATAAGGCTATAAGTAGTCTTTAACTATTTGACTAGGTATTTGTTATATATTGATTACAATATACAATTTAAATGTGTTAGCTAGCTTATACAGGGTGGGACAGAACTGATTGAACAGTTTTGAGGCAAAATAAAAGAGTAATGGAGGTACATAAAGAAGAAAGTTTATTTTCCTCAAGATTAACATAACATACCATTTAAAATACTTATGTTTTGAAAGCAATATCAGGAAGATGGGGTTTGTTAGCTGCATCACAC